TAACCTGATATATGATCCACGCAGCCGTTTTTCTCGCAACTGCTGCGGGGCGCGCGCGCGCTCTCGCCGGGATGTCTCCTGGGCGAGTCGAGGTGGGGAATCATGTGTTGGACCCTTGTGTGCGTGTTATATTCGAATGTATATATAGTATATAGCATTTTGAAATATAATGTGTTACATGGGTTCAACACGGGGTATAATATCTATATATATATAAGGGTTTGGAAGAAGCACGCCCACGGGCTGCAACAGGCATGCCTACGGGCATGCGGAACGCATGCAATGTGCGGCATGCCTACGGGCTGCCAGGTGCACGCCATACGGGCTGCAACATGTATTGCGAGGCGCGCGGGACGCATGCCTACGGGCTGCGACAGGCACGCCTAAGGGCTGCGAACCGCCAACGCATATAGCACGCCTACGGGCTGCGACAGGCATGCCTACGGGCTGCCATGCCAACGCATTTACAGCATGCCTACGGGCTGCGACATGCATGCCTACGGGCTGCGACATGCATGCCTACGGGCTGCAATGTGCATGCCTACGGGCTGCGACAGGCATGCCTATATGGCAAGGGCTGGAAATGCACGCCAGCTGGCTGCGCTAGTTCATGTTATTATATTTCTATATTTGAATATTATAGAATAAACACACATAGATTATATACAATATAAATATATTTATATATATAATTATTTTATAAATATATAACCTATATTTTCCCCATGTCTATTTATACTTGTGTAAATATTAAATAAATATATATATATGTATATATATATATATAGACCATCTTATATATATATATATCCTTTCGACAGCCGTTTGTGCGCAGGCGTCAACAATGTCTACGTCTTCGGAGGAGGAAGTGAAGTTCGGGAAGCCAGAACCACCTGAAACAGAAGAAGCTTCCCCAGCGGTGGACACAACGGAAGAGGTCGGAAAGACTGGTGCGGCTGAGGGCAAAGAGCCGCAACAGGCTGTGGAGCAGGGACGGCAGAAAGAGGACGCCGAGGAGCCGCAACAGGCTATGAAGCGAACGACAGGATGAGGACTCCAAGGATGCGCAGCCGAGTGAGGCTGGCAAGGCTCCGCGGGACTCTGGGAAAGAGTCGGGCTCTAAGGAGAAGAAGAGCCGCGGAGGCAGTCGCTGCAACGCTCACCGTGCAGATCGCATCGAATGCCGAATCTGCCGCAGGGAGATTGTAGATTGCCCTAGCGGCTGGGCGCAGCACTTGTCGTCACAGTACTGTCTTAGCCGCCGTTACTACAAGGAAGGCTGGGGCAATTGGGCATGGTGTGTTTGGATGGCAGAACAGAATGCACCGCATGAATGGGCCCGTTGGCAAGAATGGCAACGGGGCCAGCAACGGCCGCCAGAACCCAAAGGTCCGCCCATGGCACCTCCAACCGTTCCAGCCAGCAACGTTGTGATGCGGTCAAGATCGCACCGGAAAAGCCGGCATGTGGCAGAAAAGTCTCGTGACCATGAGCAAAGCCGTGAGGCGACGAGCTCAACACGCCGTCGCCGCTCCAGGCACGAAAGCGCTGATCGCCACAGCCGTGAACGTGAGGGGAGATCGCAGCGCCGCAGGCGGGTGCGATCGGATGTGCGCCGCTCCAGGCGAAGTGCTTCGAGGGAGGAGTCTGAGAGGAGTCGCCGCCGCAGGCGACGAGAAGATGTCTCCCCCCAGTTCCAGAAGTCAAGGTCGCAGGAGCAAGAGGAGGAACGGACAAAAGAACACTTTCGACGTCTGGAAGAGCAGAAAAAGAAGGAACAACGTCTGGAGGAGCAGCAAGAGAAGGAGCGACGTCTGGCTGAGCAGCAAAAGAAGGAACGACTGGAGGAACTCAAGAAGGAACGACGTCGCGAAGAGAAAAAGAGCAAGGATGGGCCCACACAGAGCCGTCCGAAAGCTGGTGCCGCCACAGGCGCAGCTAGTGACAGCAAATCTTCGCCAGATGGCGACGAAGACGAGGAGGAATCCAGTTCCTCTGCTGCGCCTGCAGCAGAGGAGACAGCCGAGGCGAAGAAGTCCCCAGCAGCCCCGAAAGCGGCTGCGGCGGACAAAAAGAAAAAGGCACCGACCCCCGCTGAGATGCCGCCACAGGCTCCGGCGCAGGCCCAGCAGGACCGCATAGAGCTGGCGCAGGCGCTGCTGGCTACGGCCTTCCGCGAGATGCTCCGCTGATGGGCGTGGAAAAAGGACTTGCTCGGTGTAGGATGGGGACGGAATGAAAAATTAAGGTTTGGGGTATTTTCTGAGGTTAAAACACCAAACGCGTATGTATATGGCGATTAGACCAACAAACGCATATGTATTTCATAGAAAAATGTTGCAAACGCCTATGTATTTGTTTTCTGCATCAACACGCGCGTATGTATTTGGGAAACAAAACGCAACAAACGCGTAGGTATGGGGTTTGTATTTGTTTGTATTTGTTTGTGTTTGGTCAACGGACTATGTTCATGCAAACGCGTATGTGTTTGGTGAAATGGGAACAAACGCGTTAATATTCCATTGTGTTTGCTGTTAGAAAGGTCACAAACGCGAATGTATTTGGATTCCGCACAACAAACGCGATTGTATTTGTTGCTAGAAATTAGGACAATGAGAACCGATGCACGTTTTTCCATCTCTGATTGCCATATATAGCTCTTATTTTTGCCGCGAAGCTGTGCAAGTTGCCGCTACATCAGCATGGCATCGCCACCAGATGCGACGCTGGCAGCGGAGTTGGCTGGGGAGATGGATGCGCACGTCGCTGCCGACGAGGCTGCGTGCAGGGAAGCTGCTGCTGAAGCGGCGCCGCCAACGAAGGCGGCCTGCGGCAAGTGCAAGGTGGAGCATGAGACAGCCGACATGATTAGCAGGGCTGGTTACCGTCCGGACCTGCGATACGTCTGTAAGGCTTGCAATGCCACCACCACGACGCTGACCCGCAAAGGCATCCAGGTGCAGCACCTGCTCGACGAAAGCAGCATGGTGGCTTTCTTCAGCGAAGCGGCGCTGGAGCGCCGCAATGCCCAAGAGAACCGTATCACCTTTGGGCAGACCAGGGCCCTCCTCAAAAGAACAATGGTGAAGCAAGTCATGCAAGTCAAGAAGGACATGCAAGAATCAGAGTGGCAGCCTTTGTCCTACTTTGAACTGAAAGGGTACGACGTTGCTGCCATCGAAAGAGATTGTCCTTGTGAGATGCATCCTGTGCTTGGTGCAACCTATAAGTTGGCCATTCACACAGAGTCTGAGGGCACTGTGGTGAAGGAGGTCGAGGAGCGCATCGCAGAGATGGAGAACGAAACCATGCAACGCCGCGCCGCGGTCACTGCTGCGGCAGCAGGCGTGCCGCAGATGGACTTGGAGTGCGTTGTTGAGAAGCAAGACACTCGCAAACGCAAAGGCGGTCCTATGACAACAGAAGAGAAAGAAGAAAAGAAACAACAAAGGCTTGCTGAAAAGCAGCTGATAGCGAGCACGAAGATCGCGACAGCAGCTGCTGCCAAGCATTTTGCTGGGTTGAAGGCAGTGCGTCAGAAGTTAGGTGACAAGCAAGAACGCTTGGGCACGTCCTTCCAAGAACTGCCAGCGGACCTGCAAGACCAGGTGGCCAAGGCCATCAAAGACTTGGAAGAAACGATTGCATTCTGCGGCAAACTTCTCGACGCAGCTGCAAAGGGAACGAATGTGGGTGCGCCTCTGTTGTTTCAGAAAGAAAAAGAACTCCAGGTGAAGATTAAGTCGGGAAACACTGCTCTCCGGTCCGTGCAAGACTACTTGCGTGGCGACAAAGAGAATGTGAAGGGCAAAGGCCGCGGTCGAGGAGTGAAGAAGTGAGCAGCTGCGCGGCTTGCATAGCCATGTGGCCATGGTACAAAAGATTTAGATCGGTCCCCAAGTTCACACATGTAAATGTGTGCTAAATTAGCTGCCTGAAGCTGTGGACGCGAGAGCTCGCCTCGGGGTAAAAAAGAAATGCTTACAGACAACCCGGGTCGAATCTCTAAAAAATATGAGGCACATGATATATGAATAAATAAATGAATAAATAAATAAACAAATAATATATATATATATATTATATTTCCATTTTTGGAATCTACATATATATATAAATATATATATATAGAAGTCTATATATATATATATATATTATATATATATATATTATATATATAATTTTTGCTATCTGTAGCCATTTTGCTGTAGCGTAGAGTGCCCCCTATAAATGATACTGCCACCGGTGGGAATAGTCACCGTGCATGATGCTGCAAAAGATGCGTACGCGCAGCTGAAGAGCTCAGCAGCGGAAGATGCCGAGCTAGCACACGGCCCAATTGAGCTGCTGAGGGAAATTTTGAATGCCGTTCATGTCTTGCCGGAATATCCTGACATGAAGAAGACGCTTGAGGTACTGAAGCTAACGCTTCTGCTGCTGAAAGGCTTTCTCCTGCAATGGAATTGCACCGGATTCCCAGATAAGATGCAGGAGTTGCCTTTGAAGATGCTGCCCAAGGTGTCGCCAAACCGGTGCTGGCGCATAGAGCATCCGCAAGTGGCGACATTGGCTCTTGAGGTCAAGTCCAGCTTGCGTTTTCTTGCGGGACACGCGCTCAGTTTCGCTTGCGAGCCATGGATCTGGCTGCAGGAATGTTTGGATGCGATGGACATAGCGTTAATGCTGTGAGGGGGAAGGGACGGATATTGTGTGGATGCGGCGAACCGCAAAAATGGGGCTAAGGTATGGGTTTAAGTATATCAACAGATGGATGTATCAGATGCATATATGTATATACTTTTGTCCAGATATATATATATATCATATATGAAAAGTCTGCATACATAGACGTCTATATACCTCTTGGCTCTCTAAGAAAATACGTCGTGCACAATTGCATATAAACCATTCTGTATACATCCTTCCTTACATCCCTCTATGCATCACCTCTCTTCGTGAGCATAGTTTTTTGGCTCCAGGCAACAAGCGAAAAGGGCGGCATGGCAGGGGTCGCTGTTGCAGAGAATCCGAAAAAGAAAGCTCGGCTGACTGGAGCCATGGCTCGTTACAGTGAAAAGAGTATTCACGACATAAGCCGGCTGCTTGAAGGGAAAGAGCACAAGTCTCAGCCTAGCGGTGCTGCCAAGCGTCGCATGCGCGAGGCAATCGCTCCTGTATGTGCATGTTACGAACAAGTAACGGCACCCAACAAAGATCCATCGCAGCCAGATGTTCAATGGGCGTTTGCCAATGTCAGAGCGCTGTTGCGCTGCATGGCCCCGTCGTGCCCCTCCTTCGTGACTTTCTTGCAGTCGCAGGCACAACCGCTGCGCTGCATCCTCAGTCATGACGAGTGCACGGCAGGCAATGTGCTGGCCACAGAACAAAGACAAAAGGTAACGCTATGTTACTTGTCTTTGGAATGCATGGCCAAGTGGGGTGACTCGCCCACTGCATGGCTACCCATATCGGCTATCAGCCACGCCCAGGTCGCGAACACGCGCGGGGGCATGGGGAACGTGCACCGAAGGCTGATTGAGGCCTGGGCGCAACAAAGCCTGGAAGAACCATTCGAGCTGGTGCCCGGCGTCTCCATTAGCCTGGTGCTGAGCTGCATGGTGGCAGACCATGATGCGCAGCGTGGGTCGCTGTGCGCCAAAGGCTCAGCGGGACTGAAGCCGTGCGCTTTTTGCATCAACTGCATTGCAAAAAGCGCACAGGGCACAGCTGAAAAGGATGCGCAGTTTCGCACGATTGCGGAAAGTGACATGTCTCTGTTTCAGCAGCATTCGACGGAAGCGCTGCGGCAATTTATTTGCAAAGCCTTGCAGCACCCAAAAAGCAAAGCTGAACATGAGCTGCAGGAGCGAGTGCTGGGCTACAGAATTGAAAGAAACAACATGTGGATGTCGCCCACTTGCCTGCAATGCTTGCCATTGGAACGGTACGTGAACGATAGCATGCACTGCTACTTCAGCAATGGCATTTGCTCTGTGGAAATAGCTTTGCTGCTTGATGCGGTACAGACCGTGACCAAGAAAACGATTGCGGACATCAAGCGTGCGGTGTTGGACGCGGGATGGCTGCGGCACCGCAGCCATAGCCGCCATGGAGAAAACCAATACTGGACTAAGCGTCTATTCACTGAGGCGTATTTTGGATCTTCAATGTATAAAGGATCTGCCAAACAGACTTTGGCGCTTCTAAGCCTACTACGGTGGGTCTGTGAGAGCGTGTGGCTTCGTGTCCCAGAGCTGGAAACGGCCGCTGCCTGTTTCTTGAAACTGTGCGCTTGCGTGGAATGCATCCGCACAATTGGCCACACCAAATGTTTTGACAAACTCCACGCATTGCAGACAGAGCATCAAAAGGCATTTGTAAAGCAATGGGGTGATTACGTTAGACCGTTAGACCGAAACATCACCATCGCTTACATCTGCCGTTTCAATACAGGGCGCTCAACCTGTGCCCCACAATGTGGGGCACGGAAAGTAAGCACAGAGACTACAAGGGCCTATTTGCGGCCAACTTTCAACAATGGCTTACTGAAGAACTGGGTGGCAGCGCTTTCTCCACGCGGCTGTTGCCGCGCCTTGCCTTGCGTCACATGGAAATGTGGAATGAAAGGCCACTGGCCGCTTCAGGCTACAGCTTGGACAAAGCTTTCCCTGAAAGCGAAGTTCTCAAGGAAACGGATCTCACCGGAGTGGTGATCGCCCCCAAATGCCGCATAGGCTTGTTGGACTTGCAAGAAGGAGATATCATTCTGTGGGGTGCTTGCGAAAACGCAGGGACATGCCATTGCTTTATAGAAAGCAACTCTGAGCTGTATGTGCTCCTCAGCCAATACGCATACGTCAGCGGCACGGAATCACTCAGGACGTTCCGGATCACCAATAACAAGGTGATATATAAATGGAACAGTCTTGAAAATCCAAAAACGTGCAGCTGGTGGCGAAGAGAAACGGCTAATTCAATTGTGCACTGCTTGCCGTGAACACAGCCTATGGGCTAGCACAAACAAATTAAATTTGCAATTTGCAACACAAATTCGTGCTAACCATATGTATAGCTGCAGCTATGGCTGCAGTTTCTCTTGGGACCAAAACGGACCAAACGTCTGAACCCAAAGGGTCACCTCGTTTCACGTTTTCGATGAAAAGATGAAAAAAGTTTGAGAATCGAAGGTTGAAAGCTCACTTTTTTAACGAAATGCCAAAAGTAAGATACTTTTCTGTCCCAAATGCATCCAAGCTTCAAAACCCAAAGAAAAAAGTTACACAAGTTATAAATAAGTTACAAAATAGATATAAAGTTACTTACGTAACTTCAACATAACTTGTTTAACTTATTTATAAGCTCTCTAACTTCAACTTAACTTGGGGGCACCACCTTGTATGAGGAGGCAAACTTCAGGGGTTACAAGGACAAGGACCTCGACGAATGGTTGGATCGAGTGAAGATTTCTCCTCCTGTCGTTGTGGCCTTAGCTTTTGTCATGGATAGAAGCGGCAGGGCATTCGTAACTCATGCAATCAGGTTGCTCATGAAAATGTTATCAAAAGTGACCAACGAAAATGAGTTGAAGATGTCTGCCGTCAGCTTCATCGACAAAGGGGCCCGATTATCGAAATTGGTGGAAGGAGCCGCTAGAAATCCAGATGAGAAAAGCATCATGCAGATGTTGTGCACCTTCGAGTGCGCAATCAGAATAGATGAACTATGGGATACCCTCAAAGACCACTATACTGGGCAAAACAGCATGATCAACAAGGAGATCACAGTCAAAGACTTGCGCGACAAGATCGCAAATACTAGCCCAGCAAACCTCGGATCATTGAACCAGACGTATCCTCCCCAAACTCTCGCCGAGCAATTTGTTTCAATAGATCTATTGAAAAAGAAGGAAAAATCAGTAGCGATTGAAAACAGCATTTTCCAAGTTAAAATCAATAGAAATGTCATTTTGGTATATAGATTTCTATTGATTTTTGAGGCACTTTTCTATTGATTTTTTATTGGTGTTTCTATTGATTTTTAACAAAATTCCTATTGATTTTTTCTTGAATTTAAGTTAAATTCTTTGAATTTAAGTTAAATTCCTATTGATTTTGGCTTTGAATTTAGGTCAAATTCCTATTGATTTTTGCATTGATTTTAGGTCAAATTCCTATTGATTTTTGCATTGATTTTAGGTCAAATTCCTATTGATCTTTTCTTTGAATTTAATTGACGTCTATTTATTTCTATTGAATTTCAAAAGTAAACATCTATTGAGTGGTAAGCCGTGAATCCTGTTGATTTTTCACCATTTCAGAATTACATCTCCTTTTCTGTTTTCTCTCGCGTGCTTTTTTCACAAAATAGAGAAGCTGGGTGTTTGAAACTTAAAACATATATACGCTTACAGACGAAATATACTAACTTCAAGACTATGCAGCAGTCAGATTGCCAAGTAAACGGGAAAGACAACTTCACTGATGGCTGGATAGCCAAATTATGGCATGGATGGCTGCATAGCCAAGCCCAGTGATGGCTGGATAGCCAAGTCCATTGATGGCTGGATAGCCAAGTCCATCGATGGCTGGATAGCCAATATGTGTGTGCAGAAAAGCCATGCGGGTGATCAGCAGGCGCATATTAGGCCCAAAAATGCCCAAAGCGAAGAAAAGTAGGCGGTCAAAATGCCCACCTGTCGACACGGGGCACATGGATGAGCTGCTGCAAAGTTATGTGAAAAAGAAGGGTATAGCTGCTTCCTTCGAGTTGGGCCGCTACAGTGCCCTGCAGACACAGAATGCTATCAATGGCTCTGCGCTGTCGAAGCTGAAAGAGTTGGTAGGTGTCTTGATGAAGTTGGAGACGGGCCTGCACTTCAAGTTTTCAGACTTGAAGGGGTCCTTGCGGAGGTGCTGCCTACAGTTTCCGGAGTTGAGGTACAAGATGGGGGAAAGCAAGAGGTGTGACTATGAGGGAACCATGGCTTCTGCCTTGCTTTGTGTCTGTGCGCATACCAGGCGCCTGAAAGACTCAACAAGATTCCGGGAGGCTTGCTCAAAGTGCACAGACGACGAAAAGAAAGAGCTCTTGGAGATGAAGAAGTGGCTTAGTGGAGAAGAAAGCGAAGGAGAGGACCAAGTAACTTGGCCAAATGGATTTGTATGCGCGGGGCCCTTCAGGAAATAGGAGCTTGTTTTTGGATGGGTTGTTTTTTCTGCTGATCTCGAGGAATCTGTGGCTGGTTCCATAGAGCTTCCAAGCTTGCCAGCAACGCCTTTGATGGCAACACCGAAGAAGAGAAAGGCAGTGGCCTCGGCCACGCCAGAAGAGAAAGGACAGCCTGACTTGGATGAGGAAGCAGAAATGGCGACCCCACTGCCTTCCAGAAAGGCAAAGCTGAAGGAGAAAGTCCTGAAGAGGCCTGCAGCTGTTTCACCGCAAAAGAAACCAGCAGCTAAGAAGGTTGAGAAAAAGATGGAAGGCAAGAAGAGCTGGGTTCTGATGCACTACAAGAGAAGCAAGGTCAGAAAGAGTGATGCATGGGCTGTTCGCCAGTGTGGGGGCTCGCAATTGTTTCAAATGGTGTGTTCAAAAGACAAGAATGCGGAAGGCATTTGCAAGCAGGCTGTGAAAAAGTTGGAAGATGGAGATTCGCCTAGGAAAGTCAAAGAATGGGCAAAGGCTCAGTAAGAGCGAAGCATGGGCCCACGCAGAAAAAGTTTGCAGTGACTGAAGCATGTGTGATGGCTGGATAGCCAACTTTTGCAAATTCGTTTCTCTCTTGCTTTGATGGCTGGATAGCCAAGCGTAGGGATCCATTGCCCAAAAAGGGTGATCACTGTGCATCTGCACTCATTCCCAAAACGCCGTGGGTGGCTGGAGGGAAGCCAAAACGCAAGCGTGAGTGGATGGCTGGATAGCCAATCTTGGGACAACTTACAATTGGCATTGCACCGAGCGGACGGGTTCAAGCAGGAGCTGCCGAAGGAAATGCCATGGCGCACCGAATGGATAGCGTGCCTGCAGAAGATGCGCGTCGTATAGATGCCGCCGCCACGCGTGTGGTCCCAGGGGGAGGAGGCTGGCTGAACCGGTTTCGTTGTAAAAATAGATGGCTGGATAGCCAGGTCAATAGATGGCTGGATAGCCAAGTCTGTTGATGCAATTGGATCTGGAGTTCTGCAGCAATGGCTAGTAAAGCCATTTTCTGTTATATTTCTGTGTCCTCTGATTGCAGCAGGAACGAACTACTGGCGGCAAGCGACGAGGACTCTGTGGGATGCAACGGCGGTGGCGGGAGAAGACTACCAGGTGTGGCTCCGGGCAGTGGCAAGAAGCGGCTGTAGGATGACAGGGGTGCCGCCACCAGGGACGATGGAGTCACACAGAAGTGCCTTGATGAGGGCATTCACCCGAAGTGGTTCAGAGGACTACTGGGCCACTTGGAGATTGCAGCTACTTTGTTGTTTTGCAGATGGCTGGATAGCCATGATGAACTCTATATAGTTTTGTCTTTTTTGTGTTGGATGGCTGGATAGCCACATGGCAGGAAAAAATCTTTCGAGTTGGAGGGCTGGATAGCCATCTTGTCGTACCAGTTCTATCTGCTGATGGCTGGATAGCCAGTATGGCTTCGCTCAGGACTTCGTCGACGCCTGCATCGACAACCGCGAAGTCTCCACCGCAGCAGGAGCCGGGCTGCACTCTCCAGCTGCTAGCTCGAAAGTGGGTGCATGAGCCCAAGCAGCCCCCTTGGCGCCGGTCGAGCCGCCCCACTGGTGGCGAGAAAGGAGAAGGAAAAGGTGGACAGAAAGGAGAAGGAATAGGTGGAGAGAAGGGAGAAGGGAAAGGAGAAGGGAAGGAAGGAAAGGGCACAGAGAAAGGAGACAAAGGAGAAGGAAAGACCGGTGAGAAAGGAGAGAAAGGAGAGAAAGGAGAGAAAGGAGAGAAAGGAGAGAAAGGAGAGAAAGGAGAGAAAGGAGCAGGAAAGGCCGGAGAGAAAGGAGAAGGAACGGCCGGAGAGACAGGAGAAGGTACGGAGGCAGGAGAAGTCACCGGAGAGAAAGGAGGAGGAAAGCCAGGAGAGAAAGGTGACGCGAAAGGTGTAGAGAAAGGAGCAGAGAAAGGAAAGAAAGGAGAGAAAGGAAAGAAAGGAGCAGAAGAAGAGGACGGAGGAGGGAAAGGACCAGCGGGCGAGGGAAAGAGCGGGGGAGGGACGGCGACGGAGAAGGGAAAAGGCGCTGGTGGATGGGGTGGATGGGCAGAAACCTCCTGGAACAACCCGTGGTGGCACCAGCCTGCGGCATGGGAGCCTTGATTTTGAATGGTGTACTGATTGCTGGATCTTCACTTGTTATAGCAGTGTGACGGGATAGATGGCTGGATAGCCAGCCACCTTGTTTGTGTCTTTTGATGGATGGATAGCCACTTCTTTTCTGTGCATGATGGCTGGATAGCCACATGACTCGTCTTTTGGTAGCTGCGCGGCCATGCGAAAGACAGTGAGAGTCATCTAAGGCCTGGGATAGCGCAAATGCAACCAGCGCCGCGAGCGAAGCCGCTGAGGTGGCCGCAGATCGCAGCGACTGGGATGGGGAGAACCTGGAGTGTTTGAGCTGCAGCTGCCCTTTTTCATCTCGTTTTTGATGGCTGGATAGCCAAGCCTGAAAGTTCAGATGTTCGCAACTTCCTGCCTGATCGATGGCTGGATAGCCATTTTAAACTCTAGTATTGGTGGCTGGATAGCCATGACATTGTCAGTTAACTGCTGGATCTAGCCATTGCTTGCGCAGATCGAATGACATATTCTAAGGACCCTGGACCTAGAACCTGAGTGGCTCGGCAAGTGCCGTGACTGTGGCCAGAAGACCTATGTGGCTGCACAGTCCGCACTGAGGCAGCATGGTGTGGCAGGCTGCCTGGATGCGTCCTGCTGGGGCTGCCGTGGTCCCAGGTTTTGCAAGAACTTGAAACGAGCTAGCCAACTTGCGAAGTTCGACAAGGGCAAACCCTGGGAACATGGCAGGACTGGATAAGCCCTCAGCGGTGTACCATAGATGGCTGGATAGCCACTCTTTTGCTGCAGCTGGCAAGTGTCGACAGATGCTGCCAGGGTACAGGGCTCGGTATGGAGCCAACAAACCGCTCAAACACAAGAGCTACAAAAAAAGGTGTCCTACTTGAATCAGCCGGGTTCATAGAGGGCTGGATAGCCCAGCCAATGGCCAGGCGGGTTTATTGAAGGCTGGATAGCCTATTGTCTGCCCCTCTTTTGAAGGCTGGGTAGCCTTGCTTGCACCTAAACTATAGCCTTGTCTGTACTTAGAAGGCTGGATAGCCTTGTTTGCACCTCTATGGACAATTGTCTGCACTTTGATAAAAGGTTGGACGGCTTCTGCAGCTCTAGAGGTCCAAGGCTGCAAAGACTGCAAAGAAGCTATGCCGGAAAAGTCGCGAAAAGCTGCAGCCTGCAGTGCAGACGGCTCATGGGTAGATGTGGAGCCTGCTCCGAAGCAGCAAAAACTTGGAGGACCGAGAGTGAAGTGGGTTGGTGACCTCGCCTTTGTCCAAAAGCCAGATGACAAAAAAGTGTATTGCGGCTATACCCAGATGGCCGTGGACATGACTGAGAAGGTGCACTGCTTCACCGGCTGCAAGGGGGAATGCGAGAACAAATGGGAATGCCCTTGCCCTTGCCATGCTTTGCAACGTGCGTATGATGCGTCCTTGGCCGAAGCTGCCAGGGCACAGATGGCAAAGCAGCAGTCTGAGGATGTAAAGTAAGGCTGGATAGCCTGGACAGAGACCGGGAGCGATATGAAAATGGTAGCCGGAGAGCTAGACAAAATTGCGCCAGGGAAAAAAGACAAAAAAGAAGCAAAATTCACATGAAGACGCATGAAAACCCATGAAGACCCATGAAGACCCATGAAGACCCATGAAGACCCATGAAGACCTATGAAGACCCATGAAGACCCATGAAGACCCATGAAGACCCATGAATTCACATGAATTTCCATGCATTTTCATGAATTTCTATGAATTCCCTTGATTTCCAATGGAAACCTGTGATCTTCAACGAAAACCTGTTTGTTTCAGGGAAAATTTGATGGCTGGATAGCCACTTCTGCTCGATGATGGCTGGATAGCCACTTCGTTTCTGTCCTTGATGGCTGGATAGCCACTCTTCTGTTGCTTTGATGGCTGGATAGCCATGTTGGGGTCTGCTGTCCTTGTCAGATTGACTAGCAATGGTACAGCATATTCTGAAGGATTTTGGTGCCCAAGGCGTTCCAGCCACTGCCTCCTTCTATAATCAGCCATGGCAGCCCAGTCGACTTTGAAGAAGCCTGCTGCCCAACAGAAAGCCGGTATGAAGAGGCCTGCAGCTCATGAGAAAGAGGAAAAGCCGCCAAAGACCCACAAGAAAAATGGAAAGGACAAAGAAGAGGAGGAAGAAGATGATGAGATTGTGGAACCGCTACCTCTCACCGAGGAGGCGCTGCAGAGCCACAACAAGTTCCTCTCTGAAATGTCAAAACACAAGGACATGAGCCAGACGCAATTTGACAAGACATTGGCCACCTTACCGAGTCGCACAGCTGAGAGGTTGTGGAAGGCCTTTGAGGCGTGCAGAAAAGAGACAGGGAGTGATGGACAGTACAAAGAAGCATCCAGCGGCTGTGGCCAGCAGAAAAAGAAAAGAGCGCTTCTGAGAGGATGGTGCATGGACAAGGGAAAGATTGGAGACTGCTACAGAAAAATGCTAACCACAGTCAGAGTCGTTGCAAAGCAAGGAGTAGAAGAGAAGTGGATTACCAAAGCTGAGGCCCTCCAGAAATGGGGGGCAGAGGAACTGAAGGATCGACTGCAGAAAGGCACCATCAAAGCTCGCCGCAATCCCTTGGACAGGGACTACTGGGAGTTCCAAGCCATTGTTGAGAAGAAGTCCAATATGGCAGAGAAGAACCGAGAAACTCAGTATGGATCTGCATGGCAGAAGGCCTGAAGCTGTCCGTGAGGTGCAAGGTATATCTAATCATTAATTGACCCTAAACTGACGTGCGCGGACTCGCTCAAGGAATTAGGTAAACCCGAAATTGACGATTGGATGGCTGGATAGCCAATGCCTTTGTGACAGCCACTGCCCAATACCTACTGTGCCTTGCTTTTCTGCTTTGGCTAGGTTGACCACAAGAAGATGGCGGCGATTGAAGCTGTGGCTGTAGACGAGGTGCACTCCAGCGACATGGAGATGGGACATGGAGGAGAGAGCGATGAGGAAGATGAAGATGGATTGGATCCTGAACTCAAAAAAATGTTGAACATCAAGGATGCAAAGCATGAGAAAGAGAGGAAAGCCCCGAAAGAAAATGCTTGGGAAGCGGCTAGCAAAGTCGGAGACGAAGACGGTGCTGTGAGCATCAAGTCGAAAGTGCTCAAGTTCAAAGCAGAACTCAGCAAGGACGCGGCCACTGTGGAGCTGAAAGCACACGAGCTGAAGAGCCAGAACCCTGCAGAGAAGACAATGGTGAAAGATTCGCTGAAAGCAGCCGAGCACGGCCAGAGGACGTGTGAGAAGTTGGACAAGATGGCCAAAGGCAAATGCGTCCGCAGCGAAGCTGCCAAGCTTCTCCAGGTAGCTTACAAAGCCTTGACTGACCTGAAAGCTGCCAAGGCTAAGCTCTTCA